CAAGCACACACAACACTTTACAAGCTGTCTTTCTGGGCCGGCTCTCCTTCTCGGGTTTCAGTGTTTTTATCTATAAAATGAAGATACTAACACCCATATCCCATTCCTAGGCTGCCAGTATGAGATACTCTATAAGACACACTTGGCATTCAAGGATCTAGCATTTGTGACACCGTCAATGAGTGCCCAGAGGTCCATGCGTGTAGTTCCTTGTAATTATGCTGAGGTGTGGAATTTAATTGCATGCCTTGAAGCTATTACACAGGAGCCAATTGCCTAGCCAGAGTGTAAGCTGAGCTGGCCTCTCACCATCCACATCTCTGGGTAGCTCTGTCATTCCCTATACATAAATATATGAAGCTCTTATGAAATGATTTTTTAATGATGGGAAAAAGAAGTCCCCCCCAAAGAGCCAGCTGTTAATGTCACAGAAGTATATGAAAATTTGGGGATTCCCAAAGGTCTCAGATGTAACCCTCCAAAATGTCAAAAGCTAACTGCCTGTGAAAGTGCAAAATTCTGTGCAGATGTGCCTCACAGTGGGGGCACGGAGGGGGGTGGGGTGGGATGTGGTTGTCATTACCCAGCAGCCATAAGACCTCAGTTGAAGAGCCCATCCCCAAACGAACAAGCACCTTTCCCACAAGTTGAGTGAAGGAGTGTTGAGCTCCAGGGACCCGGGAGCTGCTTCCCTTGCCTACCTGACGTGCTTCTGTCCTTCTCTCCTCCCCACACAGATTTCGCCTCCAGTGTCACCGCATCGTCAATGACACGATCTTCACCAACCTGATCCTCTTCTTCATTCTGCTCAGCAGCATTTCCCTGGCAGCTGAGGACCCCGTCCAGCACACCTCCTTCAGGAACCATGTATGCATTCCCTTTTGTCCCCTGCACCCCTTCCTCCCAGGAATGGGACTGGGCCCTCAATCAGGAGCCCAATTCCAAATATTGTAATCAGATGCACAATAAACTTTCTTTAAGAGATTAGGGTTTTGGTAGAAACCATCCAAAACAAATAAGAGAACATGTACCCAAATGCTTCAGGCTGGCCTGATTGGCAAAGTTCAGGACTCTCATTGCCCTGTGGATGTTTCCCTGAAGGCTCTGGTTCCTTGCATACTTAGTAAAAAAGAAAGAAAGAAAGAAAAAGTAGCCACTGACTTCCTGCCTTGCTCCTAATAAACTCTGACCAGTCCCAATCACTGGGGAGATGAGGGGAGCATTGTCAAACAGGTGCCAATGGTGAGGCTGACCTTATATAAAGGAGAGCTTCAATGACCTTGTGTAGAGTAGAAAACTAAATTTGGAGACCCAGCCAAGGCTCTGGTGAACAACATTAAAGGCTAGAGTAAGAATTGTTATATCTCAAAGCCTCAAAACTTTGTCAAATTCCAACCAGGTAGGCATGAAGAGAGGAGTCCACCAACCTAAAGCCATACCCATGCCAAACGATTTGGTGGTCCTGCAGCCTGCTTGGTCCAGTTTTCTTAGAAAGGTGTTGGCCCTAGCTCTGATCCATCACCTGAAATATAATAGAGGATGAAACCATGCAGCCTGTCCCAAGCCTGGGCAGTCCTCACCTGAAGGATACTCCCTCCCATGCCCCAAAGAACACAACACCAGGATTTCCACCAACATGAGAAGCTAGCTGAGTCACACCAATGTGAGCTAAGCATTTTGCATTTTCCTGCAATAAAAAGCAAACCCCACTCTGTCCTTTTGACACGCATCCCAATGGTCTGATTGGGGTTTGTAAGTAAATTGGATTAATGAGAAAAACATCCAACCAAATGCTGCCCAGACTCAGGACCCACTGAGTCCTGCCTTGGAAGCCCCCCTCACATGTCTGGGGACTTCATCTGGAGCCACCAAGCTGCCTGAGGCCAACCCCGCTTCAGGATCCAATGCTGTGTATATGCTACTCATCTCCTAACTTGCTTCCATCTGTCTCCACGTGGAAAATCTCAGGTGACATGTAGTGTGGTTCTGGAGCTGACTTCTCCTTCCAGCCTGCTTCTCTCCCTTCCCACCCCATCCCTACCCTGTTTCTTTTTGTTTTGCAGATTCTGTTTTATTTTGACATTGTTTTCACTACCATTTTCACCATTGAAATTGCTCTGAAGGTAAAGTCCCAACCCCTCTCTCCTCTTCCCTTCCTCCAGGAGCCGGCACTAGCTCTCTGCTGCTGTCTGTTGCTAACACACATGCTTCTGTTGGTGTCGAGTTCACTCTCAGAGCCACTAATCCAATTGTGCTTATTTTTCAGATCCTAGGCAATGCAGACTATGTCTTCACTAGTATCTTTACATTAGAAATTATCCTTAAGGTAATACAATCTGAGCAATGCACTCTCTGTCTCTTTCTCTATCTCTGCTCTGTCTGCCTGTCTCTTTTCTCTCTTGTTTCCTTCACTCACTCTTTTTTACTCTCAAGCCTGAGATTGGAAGAATTAGTGCCCCTCACTTTATGCTATGCACTTTGCTCTGGCTCAGAAGCCTGAAGAACCACCACCACCACCCCTCCCCCCCGCCCGGCCTGCTGTGCTGTGCTTCCTCTCAGTCTGGAAGGGGCATGTGGCTCACAGTGTCAACACTGATGCTGTCCTGTTATCAGCTCTGGCACTGTGCCAGTCCGCAGTGCCCCCCCCCCTGCCACACACACACCCACATACCCCATCTCTGGGTAATTGATGACTGACCCCTGCTCAGAGCTCCCTTCCCTCCTCCTGCCCAGAAGAGATGCTACACAAACTCCAAGAGTGGAAACACTCATGGGGCATGGAAAGCCACTTGGTCGACCTCCTTTGGACAGCCGTTGTCAACACCTTCCACAACACTTTCCTCAGTACTAGGGGCAGGCACCAGGGCTAGGCTGGAGTTGGGCCTGCGTGATAGTAATCATGGGCCTAATGCAAGATTTGGGACCAGCCTGCCAATGAGGGCTTTCAACAGATGACTGTAGATTACTTCTGAATCCTCGGTTTCCTGCTGAAAAGCTTTGTTATGATGCCCCTTGCCCTAAGGTGTGGAGGAGGGAGAATCATAATGGAGAGCTAAGTACAGGGGAGTGAGCTGAAAGAAGCTGGAGCACTCAGGTCCCAAACCCCAGTCCTGAGAGCACACAGGCCTGGCCCCACCTGGGGCTGGTGGCCCCAGATGCTGGTGGCCCTGATGGAGGAACTGCTACAGAATTACCCAATCAGCGGAGCCCACCTCTGAAAGCATTGGGATGAGAGAGATTGTTTTCTAAGTTTTGTTTTATTACTTATACTAATTTATAATTAATGTTCATATTTATTTTATTATGATTTCTATGTTTTTCCAGTATAGTTCTCAGCCTCTAAAACAATGCATCGCCAAGCCATTCCATTTAAGACTCAGGGTGTGATCTCTGAGACGCAGGAAAAGTGCATTTCAGCACTTGCTCTCTTCTCAGAACAACAGAATGGATTTTACCATTACCCTGAACAGAAGGGCTATATGCTCTAAAGCATATGCCTCAGCTTGGTGTCTTCTTCCTGGGAGACTCACCTAGGACTCCTTTCAAGGAGTCCAGGCTCCCTTTTCCCCCTTCATGGGGCTGATGCAAGCCACTGTCCATGCTTGACCATGTACCACAGCCAGCCGGCAGACAGACCCTTCCTTTCTTAATGCAACTCCCAAGTCAAGTCCCAACCCTTTAATGTACGTGACAGTTCTAACAGAAGTTGAGTGGAGCAGTTTGGGGTGCCTCTCTTATGTCTTTATCCCCAGAAAGCTGAGCTGTCCAGACCCCCGATTTCTGTCCCTGGTTCCAGTGACCAAGGGTGTTCCCTGGGTTTTCTCTTCTGCTCAAGGGCAGTGGATCTGACCAGGCCCTGATTCCTGGCAGTGGAAGAGGGAGCCAAGAGCTGCCCGACTACATGAAGATATACTCTGTAAAACCCCTTTCCATGGTGAGCTGAGTTATCCTGGACTTCAGACTCAGGGAGGCACTCAAATCCCCAAACCTCTTTCCCGAGACAAGAAAAGCTCTGAGTCTCAGTTCTCAGGACTGCTCCACAGAGCTTCCCATGTGGATTTCAGCAGTGCTGTCTTTCCTTCAAGGTTGCCATGAGCAGAAGTAAAAGGTCTCTTTGCCAGCATTGTCATGGCAAGAGCCTTCCTTCCCTTCACCCTCACCCTCTTCTACTCCCTTTGTGGCTCAGTGTGCTTCTAAATAAAAACCCCAGTCCCCACTCCACTTCCCTGCACCTCCTTCCACTGGGTCCCTCTGTCTTTCCCTCAGCTTCCGGCCATGGCACAGACAATGATGGTCCCATCCTCCAAGGGGCATTTCATTTCAAGAACACTTGAAAGACTTGGGGACGTTTGGCCTTAAAAAGAAAGGGCTTGTAGGACCATGACAGTTGGCCTGCATACTGCAAAGGACTGTCACATAGAGGAGGGAGGAGGTGACCCAGGCCCACTGAGTACAGTTACAAGATGCATCTAGGAACTAGAAGGGCTGCCTGGGGAGGCAGTGGCCACCTGTGGCTGGACAGAGGGGTTTTCCTGCCCTACCAGCTCAGAGAGTCAGTGATCTCATGCCTACCTTTTTTCTTCCCTCATCCTGAAAATACCCCAGCAATAGGCTTTGCTTATGCAATGGCTTAGAACTTTTGGGAAGCAGGAAATGAGTGGGTGGCCATCAGCCAAACGGGGTAAAGGAAGGACACTTTGCACTGGGTACCTGAACCTGGCCTCTTCTGTTGCCTTAAATGCCTAGGATAATTTTCAAATAAATGCTCCAATTTTTCAGTATCCACTTGCCCTTTCTCCCCTGACCACTCTTCCTCTAGCCCTGCCTGGGCATGTGTGTCCGCCCCCCCCCCACACACACACACACTTTCTGGAGTGCTGGTCTCAATCTAGGTCCCCTGACAAATAGGATCCCAAAGTCATAGGACAGACGTTGGCAGAGTGAGACCCACTAGTGCACCTATTCAAGGAGTGCTGCTGCTGTGGAGGGCTCTGTGGTGCTCCGTAGTGTCCTCACGGTGTCCAAACCAGGAGTGAGGTGGGGTCAGACTCAGAGCCTTTTCTGAGACTGAACGTGAGATGGCTGGGGAAGGTGCTTGGCCTTCTACAGGTGCAGGGGTTCTTCGGTTAAGTGAACTGTAGGAACCACCCAAGTCTAGTCTCTGGGGTCCTAGATCTTCACCAGATACAGGACAGCAAGCCCCTCCAGATGGCGGACCTTCAAGAGAAATCTCCAACTATATTCCCCTGCAGCCTTTTATATAATATACCCACTTCTAGAAACTGTTGCAGGACACAGCTGTCTCAGTCCCCTGTGACCCCCTGCAGCAAGAGATAAATGGAAAGAATTAGGTTGCGAGAACTATTTTTGCCAGTTTCCCCTGTGTTTGCTTTTGAATTGCTCTGCGGACATGCTGCTCTGGGCATGCTCTGATTCCAAAGAGATAAACTGGACCCCAGATGACCAGGGAGCCACTCTCAGTCTCCCAGCCAGTAGCTCCAAATTGTTCCCTTTGGCTGATGCTTCACTGCCCATGGCCTTTCACAACCCTTAACCTGGAAATCTGTTACCTCTTAATTCAAGTCAACAAAATTGGAAAGGTTGTTTGAGTGTCTACAGTGGCTTTATACTGAGCTCAGAGAGAGGTAATAATAGCCAAGTCCTGTAAAAATAATCACCATCCCATGTGCTCCCATTTTAGTCTTCAAAGGGCCTTCACGTTGTCTTTCTGTGCGTGCCTCACAAAGACAGGGAATAGTATGCCCGCTTTGTAGATGAGGAAACTGGACATCCTTATATAGGAAGAATCCAGAATTCAAATCCAGTCTATCTGACCCTATGTTCAGTTCTCTATAGTGACAGCTAACACTTACATGAAGCTTAGTATTTGCAGGGTAGTGTAAGTGTTTTACCTGTAATAACTCATTTGATGCCTACAACCCTATAGGGGAGATATTATCATGACCCTCATTTCTCAGATGAGGAAACTGAGACTCAGAGAAGTTAAGTAACTTGTTCCAGGCCATACAAATAAAATATGACAGGGTTGGGATTCAAACTCAGGCATCCTGGCTCCAGACCTATGCTCTTAACCATGGTACCACATTGTCCCTCTGAACACACAGCGCTGGCCTCAAAGAATATCAGTCTAGAAGCAAGATAATAGAACTGAGTTTAGAATATGTGGCATAGATCATAAACACTAATTAAGCTTAGGAAGTGGAGGGATGCTAATTGCCAAAGTTATTAATAAAACTTCTCAATGGGCACTGGGGTGACCAGCTGTCCCAGTTTGCCTGAGCCTGAAGAGTTGCCTGGGTTGGACACAGGACTTTCAGTGCTAAACGAGGAAAATCCTGGGAAAACCAGGACAGTTGGTCACCCCACTGGGCACGCCCCACCTTTCCCCAGATGCTTAATGTCTGAAGCTGGCCCTGGGGGTTGATAGAATTTGAACAGGAGGTTGGAAAGTTTGCATCCAAGTGAAAACTGGTCTGGGCAGTATCAGCAAAGGGCCCCTCAGGGCCAGAGCCACAGACATGTGATGAGGAACAGTGGTGGAAAATGAGAGAGGGATGGCAGTGCCCAATCTGAAAAGGCTCCAAATATAGGATGGAAGAGTCTGGTGTGGTCTAGTAGGTAGAAGGAACCACTTAACCATCCAGAGCTGGGGATTGTGTGGTGGTTGTATAAATGGTTGCAGAATGCTGTCCTCGGTCCTGCCTCTCCTTCTGCAGTCTTGCCTGCCCCCGGTCCTCTCACTGCTCTTCAGCTTGCCCCACCCAAGGGATGCTGTGGGAGGAGAGGGAGGCATGAGGGGGTCTCTGGAGCTTGGGCAGGGACCACTCATGCTCGTGTTTCTCTGTGCCTCCCTGCAGATGACTGCTTATGGGGCTTTCCTACACAAGGGCTCTTTTTGCCGAAACTACTTCAACATCTTGGACCTGCTGGTGGTCAGCGTGTCCCTCATTTCCTTTGGCATCCAGTGAGTAGGACTCCCTCGGCCCCATATGGGGGCACACAAGTGGAAATGGGTGTCAGAGAGGATGACCAAGACTCTGGAGGGCATTCCTGCATGGCCACCGGTGTGACTGTGACAGGAATGGGGTGGGGCCCCTGACTTGTAAAACATGATGGCTTTTTGTACACGTCCTTAATGGTGTGACACTTGGGGGTATGTTGATCCAGCAAGAAGATGTTTAAATATCTGGTTCTTGCCATGACAGGCAGGGCCGGGCCCAGTTATAACGGAGGAATGTCTCCAGGGCCTTCCTGCCTCCTCCACCACGTGCCCAGTGCCCTTGGCTACCCTCAGCTCCAAGGGCCTGGCATTGCTGTGACCAGCTCTGATCTTCCTGACCATCTTCCCTCCCTTTCTCTCTCCAGTCAAAGAACCTGATGAGAAGAAGGTGGGTGGGGGAAAGAGAAAGAGAGAGGGGAATTACCGATTCTCAATCTTGGCTTCATAGTGGAATCACCTGAGTAGTTTCAGGAAGGACATTTACCTGGATCCCTCTCCCCAAGTTTTTATTTAATTGGTCTGGGGTACAGGCCTGGGCTTTAGGAGTTCTAAAAGCTCTCCAGGAGACTCCAGTGTACAACCAAGGTTGCCAATTTGCTCAATTAACAGGATCCGATTACTAGTGTCTCCCAAGTTCTATCTGCTGCTAATGTTAACCCTGCCCTTCAACCTCAAAGCACTTTCAGATGTACAATCTTCTGTGGTCCTCACAAAAAAACCTATGAGGCAGGCAGGGCAGGGGCTGTTACCACCATTTTATAGACAGGAAAACTGAGGTTCAGGGCATGAGACTTGCCCAAGGTCACACCAATTGCAGAGGAAAAAGGGTCCTGGGTCTCCCTTCCCAAGGGTGTTTTCATGGTAAGCCTAGAAAGAGTGGACATGGGGACATGAGGAGTGAGACCTTTTCTGTGATCATCAGTTGTATTATCCCAGCTATCTGCCTAGGAGCCTACAGGTCTAGATTCTAATCCCAGCACTACCACTAAACTACTATTTAACCTGGAACCAAGAAACAAACCCCCCCCCCTTGTCTGTGCTTTCCCCCACCTGATCTTAAAATCCCTTCCATTGCCGTTCAGTGCAAACAGACTCCCTCCCTGAGACACTGGGATGGCTAGGAATGCCCTTTAAATCCTTCAGGGTAAAAGAGTCATGAACCAGAGAAATCCGATCTTTCTACCAGTTCCCTCTTGAGCACATTATCCTGACCTCATGTAGAATGAAATCAGCCCTGTCTGAGGTGTCATACATTTTTTTAGGTCCCAAGGTGGGTACAAGCTCTCTGAAAGTTTGAGAGGATATCTCAATCAGGGTAGTGTGTGAGGGTTGTGATAGACCCCACCTGGGTTGGGTTGATGAATAACTCCAGAAACCATGTAGGCTTCCTGCTGAGGGGCTTCTGGGGAGAACTGCACCCTGGTGCCTCATTTCCACTGGGGAACAGAAAAAGCCTGAAGCTCCCAGAGATCCTGGCCAGGCCCTAGCATCCAGGTATGCAGGACCTGCTGTGTAGAATCCATTCTTTCAAGTTCTGAGTGTGCTATGAACCAGTGGGTTTCATATACGCACGTAATGGGCAACTACCTAGGACACATATTTGGAGATCCAGAATATCTCCTCCCCCGCCCATCACCTCCAGCAAACAAAGCCTGAATCTCCACCACCTAATAAAGTTACCATTTATTGTTTACAATATGTGCAAAGCACATTGCTAGATGATACAGATATGTTTCCTCATTTAATCCCTGCAACAACCTTATGAGGCCCACTTTACAGATGAAAAACTAGGGTTCAGAAAAGTTAGAAAATTTATCCTCAGTGAATTGGCTGTTAAGTGGCCGAGCTCAGGTTTCTCTTTTCTTGTCTAAAGCTCCCCTGAGTAGCACATTATAGTGCTAATGACTTATGGTAAATTGCTTTTCATGTTATTTACACACCAACAGGAAGTCCCAGGGTCACCGGCAAGTTCTAGGCTCTTCTAGGGGGTGGGAGGTGGGAGTAGAGAATGGTCCCAGGATGAGAAAAATCCCCCAAAACAGACTTTACACTTTCTCAAGTTGGCCTGGGGTCAGCCTGTCAACACACCCCCTCACCACCTTATTTCCTGCTCCACCAAAAGAGGAGCTTACTCGCCTGCCCTATTTCCCTCTCCCAGGTCCAGCGCAATCAACGTGGTGAAGATCTTACGAGTCCTGCGCGTCCTCAGGCCCCTGAGGGCCATCAACAGGGCCAAGGGGCTAAAGGTGAGAAGCATGGGTCTGGGGGGTAGCCAGCAGCCCAGCAAGCATCTACCTGGCTGGGGGTTGGCGGAAGTTAAACAAGGGGATGGGGGGGCGGTAGGCTAGAGGGCGGAGAAATAGCCAGGGCAAGTGGCTGCTGTGTGGGAGCCTGGACTTTCCTGCCTGTACCACCAGTTCCACTTCAGGGAGAAGAGAACAAGGACAGGCAGCCATTCAAAATCAGAACGTCTAAGCAAAACTTTCACAAGAAGGAGATGCACACACAAACCCAGGGCCCCACATAATGATGAGGTCCCCATATTCCTACCCCTATAAAATGGGAAGCTAGCAGGGCTTTCGTCCCTAAAGTCACCTAGAGCCCAACAGGGGACCTTGGGTTCCATTGGATTCCATCACCATGTGAACCTGGGAAGGTTCTTTGCCTGTTTGAGTCTGAATTTCCCCTTTTGGCAAAGGCGCTGCCCATTCAGCCTCCTCAGAAAGGCTCATGGCTTAGCTGAAGGAAGCTCAGGCTGCAGGCACTTCCAGAACACCATCCCTTCCCCTGCCCTCTCTTCCCACTGCAGCACGTGGTTCAGTGCGTGTTTGTTGCCATCCGGACCATCGGGAACATCGTGATTGTCACCACACTGCTTCAGTTCATGTTCGCCTGCATCGGGGTCCAGCTTTTCAAGGTAACATCTTGACTCTGATCTGTGCTCCTGCTTCCTTCCCCTCCTCTCAGTATTCCTGAGAAACAGAGCTGGCAGATACAACCAAAAGAGGACAGCGGCCTGAGTCAGACTTGGGATGAGTGGAACCTCCAGCCACCCTCCTCTCAGCGTCCCCCAGGGGAAGAGGAAGAGCCTGGAAGGGGGTGCTTTCCACCAGGCCAAGGACCCCTCGCCCCCACAGTGCAGCCTGCCCTTGCAGTGCCTGCCCATCCTTCTAGCAAGAAAGGGAGAGGGCCTCTTATCCTCTGAAACCTCATGTCAGTCACCTGCTTAAAACCCGAAATGGTCCCCTGTTATCAACAGCATCAAATCCACCCTTCTTCACCTAGCTTTCAGAACCCTGCATCCACCCAGGTTCTCTCTCACTGCATCCAGACAAGACCCCTCAGCTATGGTGAGGCTGGTGTCCATGGTCTCTGCTCTTTCTGCCTTAATCCTTTTATTTTTGCTGTTCTCCCATCTGAAGCATCCTTCCCCCTGCCTTCTCCCACCGACCATATAAATTCCCCTGATTTCCTCCCATCTAATTTGTCCCTCCAAACCCTGTTCCACTTCTACCCTTCTTCAGGCCAGCTGAAAGAGTCCAGCTTTCACGGAGTAGAGTTCCCTTTTTTTTTTTTATTTCAGTGGTACTTGCAACACTGAGCATCTTTATTCACTGCCTGCTTTGTATATACAAGTCATATCTTCCCAATTCAATTCTGCTCTCCTTGCACTTTTTATCCCAAGTCCTTAGTATAGTGCTGGGCTATAGAGATGATCACTAATCATTTTTTGACTGATTCATTGATTAATGAACATCTCCAATCACTTTGTTCTTCTGCCTTCCAGGGAAAGCTCTACACCTGCTCAGATAGTTCCAAACAGACTGAGGCGGAATGCAAGTGAGTACAAGCAGGAGGGCAGCCAGCACCAAAGCTAGTTAACTCTGGGAGGTTGGTGACTTGGCCTGAGAGGAGGGACAACCCATTCTTTCTGAGATGGCACTGACAGCTGAACTTTGACCCATGGGTAATTTGATCACATTGACATGACATGTAAGATTATCTATTCTTGAAAGGTCTACCCTCTCAAGTTCTTTCCAATGGCTAGCACTGTAGGGTTTAAGCCTGGCCAGTCTCATCCCACCCAGCAAGCCAGGAGTCATTGGTGGGTCAGGTGTGAAGGGAGGTGAGAGACCCAAGAATTAACTCTTCCGTCTTTCTCAGGGGTAACTACATCACATACAAGGACGGGGAGGTCGACCACCCCATCATCCAACCCCGCAGCTGGGAGAACAGCAAGTTTGACTTTGACAATGTTCTGGCGGCCATGATGGCCCTCTTTACCGTCTCTACCTTTGAGGGGTGGCCGGAGTGAGTATACAAATCAAGGCCTGCCCACCCTGATATTAGAGGTCAAGACATTCCCCAAGTTTTATTATTCTCCCACACTCCTTCCCAGAAGTCATACTTACCTGTGTCCTTCCCAAGCAATGAGGGTTTGTTTCTAAAACAATCTGCGTTCCATGGTCACTGCTGAAACATAGACTCTTCTTTTTCTAGAAGATGTCAACATTTCAGAAATTCCAACCAAAAATGAGCTTCGTTTATCTTCCCCTCCCTACCTCAGAGTGAGCCCCAATGACAGGGGTCTTTGTCATTACTCTCATGGCATCTAGGAGTGGGGTGAGTTTCTCTAGGTATGAGCCCCTGGATTACCATAGAATTCAAGAGTACTGCTACCAACATGTACTCAATGTGGGTAAAGATGGCCAAGATAGCTATCTTTTAGACTCTACCCCCATCTCCTTAGAAAAAGCCTTGCCTATAATTACAGTGAGACGTAAGAAAGGGACAGAAGCCTGAGTCCAAATTCCTCTGCAGAGATAATGCCTAGACCAACCTGGCTGGCCTTTTACACTGCATCACCTCTACCAGGTTGTTCCATATATCTTGTGTAGACAACTGCTTCCCCATACCCCCTACCTAGTGTATTCCAGGGAAATTATTATTTAAAAGAGAAAATTCTAAATATTTCTAAGTCAGTAATAGCACATGGATCTGATATGAGAGTCACCATTCTTAGGTGGTAAAATATAGATAATACCTAGAGAATAACTGAGTACTGTGCAGAGTAACAAAGGAGAGAGAGGAGATAATCCCTATCCATGAAGAGGAATAAGCATCATGGGCACGTAGTCCAGGCCCAAATGAATGGCATACACATGTAAACTACCTAAGTATGAATCCAAACCATTGCTGATGATCTAAATAAGCCTGGGTCATTTTTTATCTAATATTTTTATATAAATGGATATTTGCTCTCAGATAGATTTCTTTTATATTCGTTGTAACATCCTCTGAGTCTATACCAGTTTGCAAAGCTGTTTCAGTATTTACTAATATTTCTAGTATTTGAAATCAATGTCCATGACTCATTTTACATTAAAATAATTTTTGATGGTTTTGAAACACCCTCCATATACATTATATCAACCACCCTGCCAGGTAGGAAAGTTAGGCTTATTGTCTCCATTGTACAGATGAAGAATCTGAGGCTCTAAGAGGTTAAGTGATTTGCCCATGGTCCCACACCAGTAAGTGGCAGAGCTGGGACTTGAACCCAGATCTTCTGATTCCCAGCCTAGAGCTGTTTCCAGCACCCCTGATCCGAGGATCCCTAGGAGCAGTGGTGCCATCATTCCACAGAGGTAACACTGCTTCTCTGCTTCCCTCTGGGGCCTGTCTCCTGCAGGCTGCTGTACCGCTCCATCGACTCCCACACAGAAGACAAGGGCCCCATCTACAACTACCGTGTGGAGATCTCCATCTTTTTCATCATCTATATCATCATCATTGCCTTCTTCATGATGAATATCTTCGTGGGTTTCGTCATTGTCACCTTCCAGGAGCAGGGGGAGCAGGAATACAAGAACTGTGAGCTGGACAAGAACCAGGTAGCTTCCTAGGAAGGAGAGGAACAGGTAGCAGGGCAGTGGGGGGGAGCAAGGCTACGTGAGGAATGACAGCAGTTGGCAGCTTGTGGCCCACCCAGAAGAGAGGCTGGAGTCAGGAGAGTGATCCATGCGGATACTAAGATCATCTGTCTGCTCCTCAACAAGGGAATAGGGCTGTCAGTCTTCTGGAAGGGCCTGGACAAAAGAAATGCAAATCCTGGATCTGGCAAATGCATTCAGCCAACAAATATTGGTTAAGCATCTACTTAAGGAGACTCTATGATGGATTCTGTGGGGGAAAAAACCTCATACCCTGTGTCTCAGAAGTTGACAAGGCAGGAAGTGTTCACGTGGGTTGGCACATTGATAATGAAGAAAGAAACTAGAGCAATGAGGGAGTGAGAGTTTCAGGGTGGGGAAGAGAGGGGCCTTAGAAAACCACTAGTAAATGGTTTCTTAAAGAAAATACAGAGGCCTGTGCATGAGGTGGGGGCAAGTAGGCTTAAGGAGGAATGATATGGGAATGCCCGTACTGGGAGGTATTCTGTTGGCCTATGAGAAAGAGCTGGAAACTCTGTCAGGGAGGAATGAAGCTGTTACGGTGGGCTGCAGCATGTGGTCACTGAGGTCGCTTCCCCAACTAGGCTCCCCGATGGGGAGAGTCAGGGGGAACTGTATCCCTGTCCATGAGTGACTTAAGGTCTTGTATGGGTAGGTACAGGGCACAAGACATTCAGCTGTACACCAGTTAGGCCAACTGGACCCCTCATGGGTTTTGATGTCAACCTCTTGGGTTTAGACTCATCATTCTGGCTGCTGTATGGCCTTTGGATTGGAAGTAAGATGGGAAAGAAGGAAGCCAATTAGAAAGTGTAGATGAGATGATTAGACCCTGATCTACTATCAGGTTAATGATAGTGGAGGTGGACAGGATAAGAAATAAAATTAGTCAGGCCTAGAGATTGGGTGTGGAGGCTGAGGGTAAGTGAAGAGGCTGGAGTGAGTCCCCAGTTTCTGATACGGGAATCTGGGCCCAGTGCACAGAAAATGAATCTGTGCTGGAGTCCCACGATTCTAGCTAGCCCCAAGATCTGATCCCCTGTCCCTGAACTATGTCTTCTGATCTTGTGGACATGGGTAAATAAGGGAGATTGACTTAGGACAGGAAGGAGAAGTTAAGAAGTGCCCCAAGGAGAGTCTGTGGCATAGGAAATAATCAATGGGAAGACCAAGTATCTGTCATTCTGTAAGTATTCATCAAATGCCACCTAAGTGTCAGCAGTATACAAGGCATTACCGAGTTGAAAAAAGGAGACACAAACTCCTTGACAAAATCTTGGTAAGGAAACTGACTAGAGGCAATTATTTCCTTGATTAAGGGAGTGATAGGAAAAAAAAAAAGTCCAAATAACATCTCAAACCTGTAAATGAGCTAGATAAGTAGATTATTTCTCTGATGCCCCAGGTTTGCAGTTTCATCCACACCCCACCTCCTCTGCCATCCCCACACACATCATCCAGGTTACTAACCCGCTCTCTCCATCCCCGCCCCGCCCCTCCCGCTGCCTCCCTCCCAGCGACAGTGCGTGGAATATGCCCTCAAGGCCCGGCCCCTGCGGAGGTACATTCCCAAGAACCAGCACCAGTACAAAGTGTGGTACGTGGTCAACTCCACCTACTTTGAATATCTGATGTTCGTCCTCATCCTGCTGAACACCATCTGCTTGGCCATGCAGGTCAGTCCGAGGGGACAATCCATGACGCCTGCAGGAAGGAGGATGCTAGGGGAGGAGATGAAGTGTAGAAGAGCTGCATGGCTGACTCCAGTGGGGCACCTTCATGTTGGCCAAGAGAGACAGAAAGAGCAGAAGAACTGTCCTCTTTTCCAAGATGGAGAAGGACAAGTGTCCCTTCTCAAGGATGAGCTCCTCTCTGGGACCTTATAAGACAATCCATAGAGGCCTGGGTTAATAAAACGCTTAGACTGAAGGAAATGGAGAACAGAGGGGGAGACTGAAGAGTTTGCTACTGTGAGGCATGGGTATAGAGGTTGATTCTATATCCACCTCTCTTCAGGGAGGTCAACTTGTGCTTGAGCTCTCTTGAGAACCAGAAGTCTCCATAAAGGTGTCATAACCTGTGTTTTCAGAGCTAGCAGAGAAGGGAAGAATTTGCAGGATTTCCTGAGTCCACCTGGCTGCTCACAGAGATGTGAATGGCCTTCCAGGGCTTGGTTCAAGGAAGATCTCTGTTGAGAGGAGGGTGGTAAGGAGTAGGGATGCCCCTGCCTCGTTTTGACAGTCCTTCCCCTCCCCTCAGCACTACGGCCAGAGCTGCCTCTTCAAAATTGCCATGAACATCCTCAACATGCTCTTCACTGGCCTCTTCACCGTGGAGATGATTCTGAAGCTCATTGCCTTCAAACCCAAGGTAGGCCTCTGAAAAAGTTGTCTGGTCTGCAGGCACTGGAGGGATGGACAAGGGGGAGTGCCAGTACTGAAAGAAGGAGAGTGAGGGGCAGAAATAATCAGTGAAAGACCCCATCTTCTTGGAAGATAAATGTTACAACTCCTAAACCTACCAGGAGTTGTACCAGAACAACCCCTTGAGATAGTCTCCACTCTAGTCTGTGGCTGGGAAATACAGGAAACAGATTCCTCCCTGTGCTGAGCCTCTTCTTCCAAGGAGGCAGATGATGGTTCTTCTTGTCTTTCCCACCCTGTCTCCACCCTCATCCCCCAGCACATAATCTAGAAGAAACTGTGCCCACAGACTGGCAAATCAAACCTCTTCACAACCAGCCCCCCAGATTCACTTGGGCTGCTGTTCTACTGCCCTCTCACTTCATCAGCCACAGACCACCCTCATTGTAAAAAGCTCAGCCAGGGCTTCATTTGCTCAGGCTCAGTTTCCCAGCTGATGGGGTCCTCCCATTCAGAGGCTACATCATTGTTCCCTAGCGCTTTCTAGTACCAGAAAGGCAAATGTCTGAGGTTTGCTACTTGCGAGCAACTTCTAGGAAAAAAGGCTGGGAGAAAGATGAGAACCATTGGCTGAATGAGGTAGGGTAGGGAAGGTTGGATTGTCTGTCACTTTGGATTCTCTGTGCCCTCCCTAACCAGCCCCACCCCCATTCTCCTGACTAATGGAGGAGGAGACTGACTTGAGCATCACCCACCATCTTCCACCCCTGAAGACAGGTCAGAATCATTGGCATCCACTGGCCTGGGATTCACAACACAGGCAGCTGCTCCTGAGAGAGGGTATAGCTGCAACTCCTTTTGGAGAGTGGTGAGAAAGAAAGAGTTGGTTCTAAGAGAATTATATGGCTACAGACTTGAGGAAAACTCTCTAGCTATTTGAGCCTTCCCTCCCCCTCCTTTACTAGTTTTTACAGATTCCACACAGATCAACAGGAGACAAAAAGGAAGGGTCCTTTCCATATGTTCCATTTTTATTCAAGTTTTTACTTATCCTGGAGTTAAATGGGACAGGGGGGTGCTCCTTGGCTGTTGGATCCATATTCATTTAACAAGATGTCTATCATCTTCTCTGAATTAAAATTCAACTAACATTTCTGAATAACCTACCATGTGCTACACATACCTCATTGCACGTAATCCTCAAAACACCCTCATAACACAGGTATTAGCATCCTCATTTCAGAGAAGAGGGAAGTGAAGCTCAGAACAATTAAGTGTAATATTAATTACACCATTATTAAGTGACAGAACTGGGAATAGAATCTGACTTTAGAGTCGATGTAATTTCCACCATGCCAAGCTGTTAGCAAGCATCTTCCATGTCAAGTGTACTGCCGGTGCTTTTCAGAAAGAGGGAAACAACCTGTGAGGGACTTTAAGATAAAACAGATCATATTCTTGCAATGTTGGTTCCTTCTCTCAAAGAATGCCTAGGGATCTTGGCTAATTTTCAGAGAATAAGACTCCTAGTAAATGTCATTTGGTGATAATAATGGTATTTCCTACCTCCTCCAGGGCACTAAATATACTCTTTTCACTTTCCCTTCCAAGCCCAGTCCCTTTCAGGGGCATAAATTTTGTCCTGACCTAAAGAAGACCACTGAATCTCCCTGGTCACCTTCCATAGGGCCCATGGGACCTCTGCTTACCTGTGGTCCTGTTCCAAACCACGTGGCCCCACAGTACTAACAGGTTCATAGCCCATAGCAACATGACCGGTGAGGCTGGGAATGCAGGATTATTGCCAAGTTGAGCTTCAGTCGCAGATGACAGCTTCTCGTAGGGAAACTGGCATCACTTTCACCTAGTTTCACGAGACATATGGTTTAAATATTTCAAAGCCTTGAATCATTCCACAGTTGACTCAGATGTGTCTCTGATGATGTCTGATGCAGTCTGCAGAGCCATGCAGTGGACTTTGTGAATTATTCCTCATGACCACAGAAGATATATTGGGCAGACCTGCCCTACGTAGCAAATGAAATTGATCCCTGCAGGGGCCTCAGCCTGAAAGATCCCCTTACCTAAGTTTGCAGATCAAGGAATAAGCCATTTCCTCGGAAGTAGCTAGCTGTGGTCATCTAAACCATAAAGCGAGTTTCCTAGTTTCCTCAATCCCTAGTTTCCTGCTGTGATAAGATGGAGTAAAATAAGAAAGACTTTTCCCAAAGAAGTAAGAGAGCCATCCTGGGACCGTTTGCATTTCACATATGCCAGGGTCAATCTGTGCTGTAAAGAGAAAGTAAAATGGATAATTTCTGTGAATATCTCTAAAGGGACTTCTGGCAATAGAGGGGTAAAGGTCACTGGACCTGGCTGGCCAAAGAAGGTTGACCAGTTGGGACTTAAGGAGAGCAGGGTGCCCTGGGTTCTCATTAAGCTATGTTCTTCATTTAGGGAATAGACCCCAGGAAAAGCATCCTCCAAAATTTCAGGCAGCAAATCAAACCAAAAATGACTTGAAGACCTGGTAGAAATATCTGGCTGGGTGTGGCCCAAGCACCAGCAGCTTCTGAAATACAGAACAGCTTTCATATCTCACCGTTAACTGAGATTCTCTTCAGCACCTTTTATTTCACTGGCATGATTCTTTATATATGATATGTACGAGTCTGCACTTGTAAGCATTATGTATAAAAGGACAGTTAGGCAGCAAGGATGTAGAAGACGCATCAACCGTAGCCAGGGAAACGTTACCGGAAGTTCTCAGTGCTTGACTTTTCTTCTCTATCCTTTCAGTCTCTGTGATTGGTTGGTTGGTCAGTTGGTTGGCTGGTCACTTTGTACCTTGTTTCATTCTTTTGTTGTCTTCGTGGTGATTGATGTTGCCAAGTTCTTCATTTCTGTTCTCCTCACCATACCATGGAAAATGACTTTACTCAAGTAAATCCCTGCCCTAAATCCAACTGTCCCACTCCTTAAGTTGACACTCTATTCCAAACACACCAAAAACTATGGGTGAGTATAAACCAGTTTAGAGCAATTCAGTCCCCCACCAAAACGTGAGGGATCTGTGGGGATGTCTGAACAGAATGCAGTAGGTAATAGTAGTATTGATTTCAACACCTAATAGCAAACCAGAGGAGATCCCTTCCCTAGAGTAAGAGACACTGAATGGTACCTGAGTCCTACATGTGTAGGACCAATTTGGTCAGCATGGAAAAATCCTGGTTAGAATTGTCTGAAGGTAACTAGATAACTGGGTTGTTCTCCTATAGGGAATTGGAAAGCATCAGCAAAGACAGAAAAAAAATTAAGATATACTTTATGATAAGCACTGAAAAAATATCTAATGCCTAGGAATAAATCTAATAAAAAATGTCAAAAATCTCTACAGAGAAAACTATAAAATTTCATAGAAAGGAACTAAAGAAAACTAAATAAGTTGAGAAATATATTGTGTTCATGAGTTGAAAAACTCAATATTATAAACATGTAAGTTCTCTTCAAACTGATCCATAGATTCTGTACAATCCCAGTGAAAACTCCAGATTGGACTTTACCCAAGGTGAGAATGGCAGGAGAAAGGGAAGCCACCAGCAAACCCTTTCTGGCTGACAGGATGACCCTGGGTGGTCCCAAGGCTTCAGCCCACTTGGGCAGCTCTGACATCACCATGGAGAGAGAGAGGCAAGAACCTGGTTCGGGAAGCAGTGCCAGGCACAGATACTCCACTGTTAACTACAGGTTTTAGTACCAGAAGGGCTGATGATGTCACTTGGTTGGCTGGGATTTGCTGTTGACAATGACTCAGCAAGCACAATGAAGAGGGGAGGAGGGAGCGGAGGGGTTCCAGGCTTGCCCTCCTCAGCAGAAGTTGGTTTGCCCCAGGAAGGCAGGGGTTCCACCAGTGAAAGGCTCCTGACTGCTCTGCTCCCTATAAACTTTCACATGGGTCATGGAGGGATGAAGAAGCAGGTCTGCTATTACTGAGAGGTATCTCGTGCCCCTTGGCTGCTGCCCACTCCGTATCTCCCCCCAGGGGAGGATGCTGGAGGGGATTTGACCCTGGCAGCTCCCTGTGATCAAAACCTTGGTCTTCCCTTTCAGCTTTCTCCCAGACTGAGAGGTGAACAGAACCAAAATGAAATCACTCATTGACCTTCCTGGCACCTCAGCCTTCTTGAATAAGAGCAGCCAAAGCCTTGGGACTTGCTTTCATGTTGCAGGACAAATTAGGGCCCCAAGGCATTTCAAACCTAGGGGATGAAGTGAGGCCTCTGGACCAGCTCTGTCTAATAGAACTTCCTGCGATGTTCCATATGCACTGTCTGCAATATAACCACTAGCCTTCTGTGGCTGTTGAGCACTTGAAATGTGGTTAGTAGAGCGAAGGGTTGGTTTTTCAAATATAATTAATTTAAAATTATATAGCCAAATGTGGCCGGCTGCTGCTATGTTGGGCAGCACAGCTCTGGACACTGCTTCTTTCCCATAATATTCTCAGCTTCTGCTGTCCTCTGTCTGTCTTGGTTTCTTCAGCCCAGCTGCTCTGGCTTCATGAAGCCAGATGGTTTACCTCACCCTCTCCACTCTCTCTCCAGCTGTTAGTTTTCTGCCAAAAAGTGACTTATCATGGTGGAAGCCCTCTTGACGGGGTAAGACAGTTTCTTGCTCTGGGATCCCACAATGTGGATTTTCTCCTGACTTGGCCAGCCCTCTCTGTCATCCCTGGACTTCCCCGGTCCTTGTCAGCTGCAAGTGCTGAGGCTTCTTCCCTGTGGATCCTGTCCCCCCCAGTTTCTGAGCTCAGGAAGGCCCTATGGGAGGCGGAGGAAGTGCCCTGGCAGGTGCAGTCCGGAATTAGTCTGCTTCTAGGGGTTGTGTCCCTGGTGATCCCTGGGGCACCCAGCTACACTTCTTCCCAGTCTTTTGGGCTTCAGACTAGGTTTCCTGACAGTGCTTTAGTGCCCTAGTGAAACTGAAATCTGAGAGCCCTCAGCCTAT